TTTTAACAAAAGTGTATGATAATCAAAACTTTTCACCACTCAAATAAAGTGCTCAAAAAATGAAGAAACATTCTAGGAGACATCAAAATGCTACACTCAATAGTTTCGTCACAAATGGCCATGTCCCACTTTTTTGATTTCGTTCCACTGAGTGGCGGCCTGCATTTGTGATTTTGTGTTTACTTGTATCGTGGTAAGACGGCCACCTCAATATTTCATTTCTAAAATATATCAGGCTTTTTCGAATACATTTGTAGATCTATCATCAGTATGAATTCGTTATAAAGGGTGATACGGTCAAAATTTGGTCAAGGGAAAACGCGTGTAAATCGGTGAAATCGTTTATTTAAAAAATCAAATTAAATTTCTTTTTCAAGTTCAATTAGTATAAAATTCAGGAAAAATATTCAGTTAGGCTTCCGCTTTTCCAAATCCGAATTGCCGGGCCTTACGCTTGACCCCTGCCATCAGATTTTGTACAGCCACCTTGTCCACCTTCTTCGCCGCAGAAAGCCAGTTTGCTTTGAACTGCTGCTCGCCCTTAGCAGTTTTTTTGGTCTTCTTTAGGTTCCGCTTGACAATAGCCCAGTATTTCTCAATTGGGCGGAGCTCTGGTGTTGGGAGGGTTCTTGTCCTTGGGAACCACCTGCACGTTGTTGGCGGCGTACCACTCCATGGCCTTTTTACCGTAATGGCAAGATGCCAAATCCGGCCAAAACAGTACGGAACAACCGTGTTTCTTCAGGAAAGGCAGCAGACGTTTATTCAAACACTCTTTCACGTAAATTTCTTGGTTGACAGTCCCGGAAGCTATGAAAATGCTGCTTTTCAAGCCACAGGTACAGATGGCTTGCCAAACCAGATATTTCTTTGCGAACTTTGACAGTTTCATGTGCTTGAAAACATCTGCTACCTTTCCCCTTCCTTTTGCCGTATAAAACTCCTGTCCCGGAAGCTGCTTGTAGTCGGCTTTGACGTAGGTTTCGTCGTCCATTACCACGCAGTCAAACTTCGTCAGCATCGTCGTGTACAGCCTCCGGGATCGCGGTTTGGCCGTCGTATTTTGTTTATCATCGCGATTTGGAGTCACTACCTTCTTGTAAGTCGATAGTCCGGCTCGATTTTTGGCTCGATGCACGATTGTAGACGATACACCCAGCTTATTTGCGGCATCTCGGAGAGAGAGGTTAGGGTTTCGCTTGAAACTACCGGCAACTCTCTTTGTCGTCTCAGCGGCTTCCGGTTTTCGATTTCCCCCCGATCCAGACTTCCTGGCTGTCGACAAACGTTCCCCAAACACTTTAATTACATTTGTAACGGTTGATTTGGCAACTTTTAGCGATTTTGCCAACTTTGCGTGCGAGTAGCTCGGATTTTCGCGATGCGCGAGCAAAATTTTGATACGCTGCTCTTCTTGCTTGGACGGCATTTTGACAACTGAAGAGTGAATTCCAAAATCAAAATAGGAGCAACATTCTACACACACACACCTTCAAAATGAGGGGTGTTCAGGTTTTTTAAATGCAAAATTGAAAGAAATACGTCAAGTTGATATTGACCAAATTTTGACCGTATCACCCTTTATGGAGAAACCCGCCCCCCCCCCCAGGAATCCACCGGAAAAACCGGAACATCAGTAAAATTCCTAAAACTAGGATCAGTTCAGAAGCTTCTGTTTCCGGCATTATAAGCAAGATGATCAAGGCATTCCAAATGGTGATAGTGCACAGGTAAAGTTTATATTCGCCACTACGCGGCACTAGCGTACATGTGAACTTCCTGTATCTATAAGCTATATCTTAAAACAAGGACATCTATGTGAAGTTCACACGCAGACTAGTGTCACACAGCGAGAGAATTCTCACAAACTAGAAGACATTGGTCACCCGAACAACATTCCATTCCCGAAGACGGAAACATTCTGAATAGTAATTATTATCTCAAGATATATTTTATGCAGAAAATTGCACTAATTGCACATTAGCCCCACATAGTGAGAAAATTCTGTACTACTGTTATCTAGCTAACACTAGTTTGCAGCATATTGGAACTTTGTGCGCTGATGGTCATTTCCCATGTAAGATAATGCGCTGATTCCAAAAATGTATTCTTCTTCTTATTCACATTTCAAGCTTATTGCTTAGTGCATATTAGCTTATTGCGTGCTCTCAACTTAGTGTTCTAAATGCACTTCCACAGTTATTAATGGAGAGCTTTCGATGCCAATACCAATGCATAAATTTGTATATTGTATCGCAAACACAATGATACTCTATGTCCAGGGAAGTCGAGAAAATTTTCAACCCGAAAGATTCCCTCGACCGGACCGGGAATCGAACCCGCCGCCTCCGGCTTGGTAATACCGTGCCTTTACTGACTAGCCTATAAGGCCCCACATAAAAATTCAAAAATGTAAAAAATCTCCAAAATCTCAGTAGGATACACACTAAGATGTTGTCTCCGTGTTCGGTAAATTTTACCAAAATCAGAACAGCTGAACGTTCGGTAAAACTTCGACCTTCATTTAAAGGCTATTGAATTTGAAAATAATATCAAAACATATTCAACTTTGTTAAAATGATCAAATCATTTTAGTGGAGATTTAGTTTCAAAGTAGAATGTTGGAAATTGGAAATTGGAAATCGAATTGAATTGCCTAAATTTTACCGCAATTTTCATTTTTAGCTGTATCTCGAAAACTATCCTACTAAATTTTTTTTTTGACTAAATTTTTGTTTTCAGCGCACGATTTTACATAAGAATCATTGGTCAAAGATTAAAGTTCTTTTTTTTTACTTTTATTTGTAAACTAGTGTAATCAACCTTAACCTAGTGTGCAATTTTGCCAATGACAGTTACCTTTTATGTAACCAGAATCATGGGATATTCCATGTGGTCGTCTTACCCCTCAGGGCGGCCAACCTTTTCGTGGAAATTTTATACCGTATAGGTTAAATTTTACTTCACGCTTAGGGTGGCCGTCTTATCCCTTCGTCCCATACAGAAAAATGATTATCGCAGTAAAATTCTCACAATTCTGAACGCTAGGCAAGTGTGTTACGCTGGATCGCGGAAACAACGTATATTCGTTATGGGTCAGATTACACAGCAGCTGTGGATGCTTTGTTCAACATCAAATTAGAATGTTGTACAATTGATTGAGGAAATCAAATGCTGAACACTTGATATCTAGTCGATATTCTCGGTGTTGATAGTATGAAGTATCAAAGCATGAAGAACATAATTTATTGGCTTTTACTCAACCTTCAATTAGCATAGCATAGCATAAACCAGGTTGCACAATGTCGTCGGTTGTACGAGCTCCAAACTGTTGTTAAGAAAGAGACCCACCTTTATCCGTTGCTGTTAGATAGTAATTTGTGACTAATTACTACCTCTTACATAAAGGATGTGTCTCCCTCCAACAGACCAGAGCTGTCCTGGCCACGTCCTTGCATCTGGTGGGGAAAGGGAAGGATTGTTAGTCCGACACTTACTTAAGAGAGATGCAGAGAAATCTACGACCTCTCATAAGTGTCACGAGAAGGGTGGTGTTGGATAGCCGGCTTACCTCCTTCGATGTGTAGTGGCAGTGGAGCATCCGTGCCGACTCCAACACTGTTTGGGGACTCTGTTGTTGTTGGTGTTTCTTTTGGGGTGAAACGGGGTGCGGAATTCCAGGGAATATTCTTCTTCTCCAGAGACACAAAAAAGGACACTCGCGGATTGGCCAAACACTAGTCTACGAAAACTACATTTATTCCACATTAACTACACAATTTACTTTTCACAAACAAACTTAATGCTAACAATTTCTGCATTCTTCGTCCCCGATGGGAGCATCAACCGTTTCCAACGGCTACCAAAACCAACTAACTCCCGTCTCCCGATCTGATCATCGCTTGACCCGTGGCAATGTAGAACAAATCTCCCTCTCGCACTGTACAGAAATCTACAAACGATCGGCGACTATCGGTAATACACTCTCTCGGGTCCTGCTATTATCGATCCCAGATGATGACGATCGCCGCAATTCCCTACCTCGTATGGACATCTCATCTGGCGCTCTCTCGACCGATCGTAGGTAATGGTGATGCTGTAGAATAGCCGTGGTTTGTTTCCTCGTTCTCGGTATTGTTTCCCTCAGCTATGCAGCAGAACAGGGTTGTAGTTTCTGGGTGGTTCAGTCTCAAACAGGTGGAGTTTTGATATTAGGGAGGGTAAGCCATAGGATACGCCCAGCCGGCGTTGCTGGCAATCGTTATATCAAGCATTTAATAAATAAAAGCTGTAAGTAGTTGCTGCCTATTTTCACACATGATAAGCCCCGCTCCAAAACATTATCGAGGCAAATATACACCATTGATAATGTACTGAAATTTGCAATCAAGCAGTAGTGCAATACTTGATCGACACGTATTTAGTAAGTTTTGAAATAATCGTCTTGAACTAGATGGATATTTCCTATGGAGGACAGAGGAACGAAAAGGTAAATAAACTTAGCTGAGCGTAGCTACGCGTAGGTTAGCACAGTCAGCACCACATGCAACGGATAGGAATTTTAAAATTTTCACTTAACGCACTTTTCAAAATTACTTCTGTACTTTCAAATTAACACTTTTTAAAAATGAAATTGTAAATTTATAACATAACAGAACGAAAACGACGCAGTAAAACAAAAACACGTCATTTTCGCAGCGCAGCCTACTTCGATCCATTGGCTTTTACTCAACCTTGAATTCATTACAAAATATATATCCTTCTCCAATGTGTTCCTAAGGATGTGTTAGTCGTGAAGCATCAGTTCTTTTACTAAAAATTTAAATTGTAATGAAAAGGTATGACTTCAGGATACTTCATTTTCGCAAACCATTAAACGGTGCGGTGTGTGCAATCCCACAATTCAAACATCCCCCCTCCATCCTGATATCCGAATCCTTCTTACCCCGTCCGCGAATCGACAGCAATTAAACATTTCTTCTGCTCCCTCTAATTCACAGGTCAGCGGTTTAAGGTTCGAGACGCAGTTACGAACGTTAAACCAGTTCCCCGATACTCTGCTAGGCGATCCGGATCGAAGGTTAAGGTACTTCGATCCGCTGCGGAATGAATATTTTTTTGACCGGAATCGACCGAGCTTTGATGCCATTTTGTATTATTATCAAAGCGGTAGTATATATCAATTCAATTTCCCCATCAGCGAATTAATGGATTTGTTTGAATTTCATCTTCTCCCTCTTCTTTTCTCTCTTTATTTTTCGGTTCTGTTTCTCCGGTATGCCATCAACCAACCACCACCAACCACAAAACCACCATTTATTGCCAAACAACCAACCAACCAACCAACAAAAATCGATCACCACGCCACGTTCTGTACTTTGGTTTGATTTTTCGTTTCGGCTTGCGTCCTTGTGTTCCTTGTCAACGAATAAAATATATAAAAATGAACAACAAAAAATTCCATCAATTGCCTCATCATTTCTCATCTATTCTCTTGCTTGCTCTCGCACAACGCCACGACGCCCATCCGTCGCGCGTCCTTCTTTGCATTACTTCCGTTTCTTATTATTACTACTATCCTCCTCCTCCTCCTCCTCCGACCCCCACCCACCATCCCACTACCATTACCAACAACCTTTTTCTGTGTATCTCGCCGACGCCATTGCTGCGCTTGTTGTGCTTCCATTACTTCCGTTCCGTTTCGCTCGCTTCCTCCATTGGCGAATTTTGCGTTTCCTTCCTCTCCACCCCCCCTCTACCCCACCAATCTTTTCTTCTTTCAATATAAAACCTACCAACGAAAACCCTCGAATGGAATTGCTGCCCCGCCGCCGAATTTTCGAAAAAATCAAACAAAACTATGGAACCTACCTTGAAACGCGTGTGATGTGATGTCCCTGCCTGGAAAAACAACAAAACCGTGCTCCTCATGGATGACTACAAGGCGGTCGGTTACGGAGACCAGTCAACGTACCTTTAGATGTATTTAGCGAAGAAATTAAGTTTTATGAATTAGGCGAACAAGCAACTAATAAATTTAGGTGAGTATCAAGCAGCGATTAGCATTTGTGTTTGTGTGTGTGTCTCTGTGTGTGTGTGTGTGTATTTATGCATTTTATTTTTATTATTCCTCTGTGGCGCACGTAACTCTCGCCTCGCATTAAATAGTGGACGCTGCGATAATCCTACAGATACAAATATGTCCTTGCACATGCAGAATCTGATGCCACGTTCGCAAAAGATTCTCAAGTAAATGGCGTAACGGAATCGATTTTTCCCCTTTTTTTAGTTTGTTCCGCGCGCTCTGTGTCCAGTCTCACTGTCCCCATAATATAATATATATATACCTAATGTTAACAAATTTTAACTCCGTAATGCTACGCTCAATCCTGCTAGAGCTGGACACAATAGCACACACCAATACTTTCCCGAGCGCTAGAACTGAAAAACAAGAAAAAGAAAAGTCGCTAGCGATGGAGAAACAAAAAAACTACGAAACGTATTTGATCTGTAGTAGATGTATTGTATGCGGAGAAACTCGATTAATGATTTGCATTGTGGAATGAACAGTAATCTAGTAATGGAAAGACAATAGTTAATGTTCCGGGGAACGATAAGCCGCATTTCTTGAACGTTCTTGAGCGGTGCAGTAAAAGCTTCGGTTGTATTTGTTTATTTTTTATTCTCCGGAACAACCTTAATTGATTGATGGATTGAAACACATTAAAACTACATTTATCCTACTGATTCAAAGAAGTTTGAGAAATAAGTCAACGCGGAGTGATGGGGTGCAGGACTTGCCATGGTATGGGGTTCCTCTTAGCAGCAAAACCATCCTGTGATAGGTCTTTTCAATGCACCACCAATGTAGGAAACGTCAACTAAACCGTTTGTTTACATCTGAATTAGGATTTGTCACAACGCAAATTACAGCGTTTTTAATTGAAAAACTGCATGATCATAACCTCTAAGGCACTATTATAATTTTCCATTTTTCTCAACAAAAATATTCCTGAACACTAGCAGGATCCATGCAAAAATGATACAGAATTAAATGTTTCAACATTAGACCAAATGTTGGGGCATCTTTATCACGAAAAGTGAAAAAGTGTTCCGCTTCCTATGTCACGGCAAAAAGTTCTGCTCGCAACACTCTTTTTGACGTTCTCCTTTTTACCGCTAGAGGTTGAATCGATCGTTTAGTTTCTATTAATAATGCATATAGCACATGACCATTCGATTACTGCCGTATGAAGGGCCAAAAACAGAGGGACGTAACCGTAAGAACAGAGACACTTACTCGAATCTCCTTCCGACATTAGTAACTGTCCTGTCATGTGGCATAACCGGTTCACAATACATACCATGCTGCCGCCTGTCACCATTTGCAAGAGAGTTCGTGGAGCAAAACCAGGTGGGATTCATGGATGTCCGCGTTAACACGGACCAAATTTCCGCGATTCGGCAGGTTCTGCAGAAATGCCGCGAATGCAACGTGCCCACACATCATTTGTTCATCGATTTCAAATCCGCATACGGCACAATCGATCGAGATCAGCTATGGCAGATTATGCACGAGTACGGATTTCCGGATAAACTGACGCGATTGGTCAAGGCGGCGTTGTTCGAGTATCAGGGACACTCTCGAGTGAATCTCGTAGGGGGTTACGGCAAGGTGATGGACTTTCGTGTCTGCTGTTCAACATCGCGTTTGAAGGTGTGATCAGAAGAGCTGGGATAGACACGAGTGGCACGATCTGCAGGAAGTCCATCCAGCTTTTTGGCTTCGCCGATGACATCAACATCATGGCACGGAACTTTGAGACGATGCCGGAAACGTACATCAGACTGAAGGCTGAAGCTAGGCGGATTGGACTTGCCATCAACGCATCAAAGACTTCATGGAAGAGGTTCTAGGGAAGACAATGTTAGCCTCCCACCCCGAGTTCAGATTGCCTACTTTGGACTCCGGAAGACGCTCAAGTCGAATAAAATTCACCGTCGCACGAAGTTGACTATCTACAAGATGCTGATTATACCGGTGGTCCTCTACGGATACGAGACCTGCCCGTGAAGGACCAACTTGGTGCTTTCGAACGGAAGGTGTTGCGTACCATCTACGGTGCCGTGCAGATGGATGACGGAACGTGGAGGAGACGAATGAACCACGAATTGCACCAGTTGCTGGGAGAACTATCCATCGTCCACATTGCAAAAATTGGGCGACTACGGTGGACTGGGCACGTCGTAAGAATGCCGCACGACGACCCAGTGAAAATGGTTCTAGAAAGCGACCCAACAGGAACAAGAAGAAGAGGCGCGCAGCGGGCAAGGTGGATCGACCAAGTAGAAGGCAGACTACGAGGCTGGCGAAGTGTGGCCATGGATCGAGTACAGTGGAGACGACTTCTTCGGACTGCAGAGGACAACACGGCCTTATCCTAATTGGTAAGGTAAGGTAAACCATGACGAACATTGCAACATCGGTTCGGTCATTTGACCGGAAGCCGTTTGGGTACACGCCAAAGGTTCGTTTCTTTTGAAAGAACTACGCATGTTAAATGGAATGTCTCGGAATGTCATTGCCCGGAAAGTAACTTCCCGGAAAGTAACTTCCCGGAAAGTAACTTCCCGGAAAGTAATTTTACGAAAAGTAATTTCCCAGAAAGTCATTTATCGAAATGTCATTTCATGGAAAATCTTTTCCTGGAAATTAATTTCCCGGAAAGTCATTTTTTGGAAAGTTATTTCTCCGATAGTAATTTCCCGGAGAGTCATTTCCCGGAGTCATTTTCCAGAAACTCATTTCCCGGAAAGTCATTTCCCGGAAAGTAATTTCTCGGAAAGTCATTTTCCGGAAATCCATTTCCCGGAAAGGCATTTCCGGAAACGCCGTTTCCCGGAAAGTAATTTCCCGGAAAGTCGTTTCCCGAAATGTCATTTCACGGAAAGTCTTTTCCCTGAAATTAATTCCCAGATATTGATTTCCCTTAAAGTACCGAAAAGTTATTTCTCGGATAGTAATTTCCCGGTAAGTCATTTCATAGAGAGTCATTTCCTGGAAACTCATTTTCTGGAAACTCATTTCCCGAAAAATAACTTCACGGAAAGTCATTTTCCGGAAAGTAATTTCAAGGAAAGTAATTTCAAGGAAAGTCATTTCCCGGAATGTCATTTCCCGGAATGTCATTTCCCGGAATGTCATTTCCCGGAATGTCATTTCCCGGAATGTCATTTCCCGGAATGTCATTTCCCGGAATGTCATTTCCCGGAATGTCATTTCCCAGAATATCATTTCCCAGAATGTCATTTCCCGGAATGTCATTTCCCGGAATGTCATTTCCCGGAAAGTCATTTCCCGGAAAGTAGTTTTCTGGAAAGTCATATCACGGAAAGTTATTTCCCAGAAAGTCATTTCCCGGAAAGTCAGTTCCCGGAAAGTAATTTCCCAGCATGCAATTTTCCGGAAACACTGCCGAGTAAGCCCTTATTTAAAATTCATACCTTTGGGTAAAACTGACTCTCTATCTCGCTGCTTTCTTCATTTCGTTTCCCATACAACTCCCCATACAAAATTAAAAATTCTCGCGGTTACAGTCTCGCACTGAAGCGATCATCGGATTGTTTTCCCATCGTGATAGAAGAACAGCCGCAATGTGTGTGCAGTTCATTCTTCGTGTGCGATCGCTTATATTGACGAAGCAATTCGTGATATTTTACTTCTCTCACCCTTCCCTTTATTCGCTGAGTGACCACATGCACCCATTGAGCATGGGTTACTCACTCTCAAATTTCCAGCAACACGATCCCAACAAAGCGATGCCGCTCGTAGAAGAATACACCCGGATTGATCCTCTTCATGAAGAGCATCATTGCTATTATAGTACATGAACGAGGCTTTGTGTGGTTGCTTGTGATGACGAGTGTCTTGATTTTGTTACGTGAGCTAGTGTAAAAGAGAATATTTTTTGTATCATTTACACAAACATTAATGAGAAACATCGTTAGAGAAAAAAATAGCTTCCCGACGGAGAGACGTTGTCAGCGCTAATACGCTTCGTGCGACATCATTAGAGAATATTCAAATATTCTTCGTGAGGATCAAAGCATGAGCATCGCGTTGATGCGAAAAACCATTCGCATCGACATGAAGACTAAAGCATACAAAGAACGCTCTCCACCGCTCGCGATGCGAACGACGAAGAGAAGGAGAGCACGCAGCCCGAAGGTTTGAGTTGTGCATCGGCACTCACACTCCTCACTCACCGAGCATTCTTTACGATTTGCTTTTATGTGGGCATCCATATCATGCAAGAGTTTTGCTGAGATACCGATACTTCGAGTACCGTTGCACAAACGTCGAAGCGAATATCAGTAACCTTGACCAGATCATAACCAAATTTGTTCAAATTTGGCATCGTTGTTGGGGACCTCAATACACATCGGAAGAGTAGTAGGGAACAGAGAGTTGTGATCCAGCATACAATCTTGACCCTCCCTAATAGGCAAGTTATATCAAAGAAGAATACTAAGATGAAACTGTCGGAAGAAAAACTTTCAATTTTTGTGTCCTCTTTCACGGTCCCTTTCATCCAATGAATACGGGGGGTATGCAATAAAATTTTGTGGTTTTGCTGCCCCCTCGGTAGAGATGAAATTTTGCGCTCTTTTTTTATCAAAACAATCACACCAAAATCAGAGATGACATATTTTTTAATTACTCGATTAACAACTAATCGATTATTTTTTGTTCGCTGTGCTGTCATTTTTCCACCAAGGGCCCATGCATTAATTATGTCACGGTAAATCGAGGAGAAATTTAGCCCCCCCCCCTATCGTAGCGTTTTTCCTATACCTTAAGCATTGCTTGTCACAAAATCTTAGACACCCCCCCCCCCCCCCTAGAGCGTGACATAATGCATCAACCCCAATGAGAGTGCAGCACATGTTTGAAACGATCGGTGATGATCCTCTGGAGATGTTAATGCTTATATCGGCATGATATAACCGATTACAAATATTTTACTTTTCGGTTCGTTAA